GGGAGCCTCGGGAAGAAAGAAAACATTCTCAGCTGACCTTTAAGGGAGGGGGATTGCCTCAGAAAAGCCAGTTTGGATACACCTCAAAGAGTATGTGAAGCAGAACACCAAGCAAACAGCATCAGGTTCCAGCAGCTTTGCATGGCTCCAGTTAATACCCGGAGCTGGGGAGACCTGCTAACCACTGCCATTGTCCCTCCCTATAATACCTTCAACAAGCACCATACCAGGGAACGGGACAGACCTTGAGCACAATGACAGAGCACTGGGGTTCCCCACTAGCACACAGTGGAGAAGTTCCTGAAGAAATCCATGTGTTTCTGGAACCTAGAGTGCAGAGTGCTGCTGTAAACGGTGCTTTTCAGCTGCTTTGCACCGAGAACAGAATTGCTTTGTGAAAAATCTCAAGGAAAATGGAATGGAATTTCTTTGCTGGCGCTCCATTTGGCATGTCTGATCTAGAATATGGCTGTTTGTTTACTACAGTTTGAAACTGTGTCAGAAAATACAGATTATCTGAGGAGCCTAGAAATGCACCGAGATTTCAGAGCCAGAATTGCTCTGAGGCTTTTTATTAAATGAAACAGCCATTTTCTCCCAGGCAGAAATCACAATGGTATCCATCATAAAAATGATCAATAAAGCACTGGCTTGCGACTCCTGCTGTCTGGTTTAATTCTGTTATTGAAATAAAGGTTTCTCAGTGCATGGAATTTCCTGGGGATTAATAATAACAGACATCAGCATCACAACACACCCACCTCTTTGAGCTTCTGATTTCTTTCCATAGAGCACCCACTGCCCAGTCCATAGGAACCAGGATTAACGTACTTGCTGGTGGTACTCACGCCTGTGGTACAACCATCTGAATCATCTCTACATGATGCTGAGAAGCAAAAGCTGCCATCTCTTTTTTGGGAATGACTTTGGTACATTTCTAGGAAAGCCTTTTGAGATAATACTTTGGAGCCTGTCACATCTGACTCATTACAGCAGCAGGAAAAAGGGAGATTGGTTGCTCAACCTGCGACTAAGGTCTATCTGCAGTGTGCAAATGTCTCAGTGATTTGAGATTACAGTGCTGACCTGAGGGTAGTTTGGGTGTATGCACTGCTCTGTTTTACCTTCTATTTCTGTCAGCACTGCTCAAGTAAAAACCAGGAATAAGCACACAGGTTTGTTGGATCTAGCCTTAAAATTGCAACACATCTGGGCAAACAGATCCACAAATGGGCTTGTTTAGGACAAGGGTTAGTTCTGACTCCCTAAACCCTGACTGATGTACCTGGTGTCTCTTTTGACATTAGCATTGCTTTGAGAAGTAATTTCTACACCTACACAAGAGTTTCCAGGCAAAACTATCCTTTTATTAAGAAACACTGTACTGACAAAGCTAAACTGATTGTGAGAAAAGGGTTGTTCTGGAAAACATCTCTTCTCAAGGAATGCCAGGGAGGAAAGGCAGAATTATCACAGAATCCCACTTAGGGGTATGTTCCCATATCAAAACTTTGCCACCACCAGTTAGATAATTGCAAAACCTAGTGTAAAACCTCAAAATACATTCAAGATCAAAGGCAAAGCTTCCACTAAATTAGCTGAGTGAATTGTTTAGCTGTTAGACTTCATTCTTAAATCCATGAACACTTGGCATTCAGCAGTTTGTTTTCTGAGAGGGTAGAAAAGGGAACTTGTGGATGGGCAAGAATTTGTTCAGTGCTGGACAATTAATGTGGACACATGAGTCAAGACATTGCCTTGCACAAAAACAAAGCAGTGGGAATTTCCACCTGTGGCCTCTCTGGGCATGGGTTTGGCACCACAATCCTGATCCATCCAGAAGCCTCAGCCCTGTTTATGCTCAATTTGGGATTAACCTTTTCATGGCTCATACCTCTGGGTGTGTTGAAGTCTGAATGTTGAAATCCTGTGTCACAAGCACACAACCACTGCAGTGACCTTGCAAAAATACTGCTCACCATCCTGTGATCTTCCTAGCAGATGAGAAAGCGGAGCCTGGAGCTGCCTCCCACCACCACCACCCCTTCTTGTTCTGCAGCTTGGGAATTTTATTAGCTGTCAACATGTCAAACTTCCACTTAGCTGGGCAGCTGCATGAGCACCCAGCCTCTGAGGCCTGCCAGTAAAGTTTAACAGAGCTATCAGCCTTTCACATGGAACTGATTATGGTATGTGAATGTTCAGGTATCAGAGAGAAGGAATGAGACTGAGGTAAATTCACCTTTCACGTGGTAGAGCAAAGAGAGGTGAGGAGGAGAAAAAAGAAAAGAGATAGCCAGGCCTGCTTGGTTTTGTTCAGTGCTTGTACAGTGATTATCAAAATGGGATTCCAGTGCAGGGATGCTGTGTATATACGATCATAGAATCATAGATTGGTTTGGGTTGGAAAGGACCTCAAGATAATCTAGTTCTATCCTCCTGCCATAGGCAGGGACACCTCACCCTAGACCATGTCACCCAAGGCTCTGTCCAACGTGGCCTCGAACTGCCAGGGATGAAGCATTTACCATCCCTCTGGGCAACCTGTTCCAGTGCCTCACCACCCTATATAGTAAGAAAGGATACAGTAAGATGGCCCAATAGCAACACCTGAACTGTGATTTGGAGACCTGGATGTGATCTGGGCATTGTCCACCCATGGCTGCACAGCAGAGAGGGTGCACTGAAATCCAGAAGCTGGATGATGCAATGACCAGACACTGAGGGCTGCTCTTGAGTCTCTTTTGTAACACTTCTCATGTGTCTGCCTCCCATTTTACAAGTTAACACGATAAGCTTTTGGGGATGGGATAGATGGGGAGATGCTGGCATGGCCCTTAACACCCAGACACATCTCAGCTGGCCCTACTGTTATTACAGCCATCCTTAATCCAAAGCACGTCTCTTGGCCTTAAAAACTCCGCTGAGACACGAGGAAGACTATAAGGTGGCAGAAGATTCCCTGCTGGATGGCTACATGTGTGGATGTGTGTGTGGGGAGGCCTTTTTCTCTTTTTCCACAAGGACTTGATTGACTCATGTTTGTAGATCCTGAGAGCCAGTAAAAGATCTGCTCTGATATCCAGAAAATTTTACAAGGGGCGGCAGGCTTAAAAGTGGTGGGAAGAAGCTGACTCTGCCAGGATGTTGGAATGAGAAAGCCATCAGGAATGTGCCTCGGAGAACAGCTGCTACTAGAGCCCTGGCAGGAACCTCCACACAAGCTGCCTGGGAGCAAGTAGGGGGATTCGAGGATCACAGCTTGAGACAAGGGAAAGGTTCTCTTTATTTATTGATTTAGTTTTTCCTTGCTCTGCTTTCCCTCCCAGCCTTGTCACAGTGAGGTCAGAGTGCCCTGGAACAGAGAACCTGCCTCTGGTTTGTGCACACCCTGGCACTTCAGGGCTTTTCCCTCCTCCCCAGCATGCCCTCATCAATGCAGGTTTCTCTGTCCCCATAAAAAGGTCTTACCCAAGCTCTGTTCTTTGGAAACTCCTTATTTTTTTTCTGTTTGCCACAGAAACATCTACCTTTATCCTTCCTCCTTAACATCTTATGTCCATCTACACAAGTAAGAGCAATTAGAAACAGAATATGCAAACAAAAACGGGGAATTCACACATTCCAACTTTTGGTAACTTAGTCACCTCAATTAGTTCCTTTCCCAGGCTCCATCTATCTATGGACCTCCCTGGCTAGCAAATTATTAACACTCTTAGTGCTGAACACTCTGACATGGTCTTTTGGCTGAGATCAAAACCAGAATCAGTTTAAAGCCTGCTAGATTTCCTTTTGGCAGTCTCCATAGCCAAATCTTGAGGGATGCTGGAGTCAGGCACATCCAGTACCTTTCAAGAGAAAGCTGGAGGGAGGTGAGTGAGCACCCACTGCAGTGCTGTGACTTCTTTGGGAAAGACGGCTAATGGGAAAAGCCTTTAACCAGTGAACATCCCAGGTATGGAGAGCGAAATGGCCATTCCCGAACAGCAGGGGGGAAAGAGCAACAACTTTTAGTGGCTTTGGAGTGAGCACATCAAGCTCATTACCTTCAGAAGCACAGAAGGAAAACCAGCCTGCTTTGTTTTGGAGGAGCTGGTTAGTGATCGACTGTTGTCCTGTCACAAACCTCTTTCTCTCCTCTCCCAGTGCCCACCATTCAACCCTCTGCTGCCTGCACAGAGAACCTGTGCTTAGTCTGAAACCCAGCCACTCTGGCCACACGGAGGACGGACTGCTGGGGTCTCCATTTCACTTCTTTAACCCAGCACAATCCCCAGTCCCTCCCCCTTTCCTTCCCTTTCCCCAAGGGACTCTATTATACCCCGCGATCTGTTCACAGTACTTATCCCTCTGCGTGTTTGCACACACTGCTGACCCAGCCTTTATCGGGAAGACATAAGGGTCTCTGTGTGGAGTTCCCACAAGGGCTATTAATCGTGTAGATGTCAGAGTCCCCCGGCTCCAAACCCTCCCTTCCAGCTCCTCCCCTCTTCTTCCCTCTCTCCCCCCACCCTTTTTGTGCTCTCTGGAGATCAAGGAGGGGGGAAAAGAAGTTTGATGAAAATTCACACACACAACTTGCAAACTTTGCAAAATCTGAGCTGCTCCCCTGGGCAAGGCTAGAAAATGGTGTGATTTCTCTTAAAACACCAAACATTCACACGCACTGCTTCCTCCTAGGCAAATGGAGAGATTTGCTCCAACAGCAAACAGAGAGTTCAACGCCTTGCCAAGCAAGGGAAAGTTTGGCTCGTGGTCCCAACCTGGATGGAAACCCTCCAGCTGGTACCTCTGCAACAGGCCAAATCCAAATGGCATTACCTGCAAGTCCATGTGAACGTGGGAATGTGCAGAACTGGATTTAAGTCTCAGATCCTTGTGGACGTGGCTCTAGAGAAGTGTGTCCACGTTATCACCTTTCAACACCCTCAGCACTACCATCTCCTTCCCCGAGGTACACAAGAAGCTGTGCCACCAGGCAGACTTGCTCTAGGCCTTACCTGAACTCGGGCCTCGGTGAGCTTGGTTCTCTGAGCTAGCTCCTCCCGTGTGTAGATGTCTGGGTAATGGGTTCTCTCAAAGGCCTTCTCCAGCTCCTCCAGCTGCTCAGCGGTGAAAGTGGTTCGGCTGCGGCGTTGCTTGCGCTTCAAAGGCAGGTCTGGTTCGGATTCAACATCAGAGCCTTCATCCAGCCTGTTACCTGGGGTGGGAAAGAAGCAGGAGATGAGGTTTGCATGCGTAAAAGCCACGTGGAGAAAGGCTGTTGGAAGAGCTAAGCAGCCCAGCAATCTCAGTTCTACTGTGGTGGGGTCCATCAAAGCAAATACTCTGCTCTGTGCAACACATCTACAAGCTTTAGGCTATTTCTCTAGGCTCCTACTATTATGTTTCCCCTACATTGTAAAAAGACAACCTATGAAAATCAGAACTGAATAGCTATGGCTAGGATGAGTAAGCCCAGTTTTGCTCTATTTTTGCTTGTTTCTGGAGATAAAGGCACCCCATTGGTATTCATCAAGTCTACAGTCAGACCCAGTGGATTTGAGAGGGGCCACACTGAGACCAGTGTTAGCTGGGACTCCAGTGTTTGCCAGGGGCCTCTCATGGAGCAAAGCTTGGGTTTCAAAGATGTGAGGCTCTTGGCTCCCTGCAGTGCAGATGTTGATCTATGGAGGATCTCAGCCAGGCCAAAACTTTATGTCTGCCTTCAGGACAGTGAAAAATGTGCCACCGGTTCATGGCAGAGAAGGAAGAATGTGATACATGAAGCTTTTCAGCTAGGTGAGACATGTGGCCTCGGTCGCCTTTTCCTTCTCTCATGAAAATAGGAGACTCATTAAATGCTCACTTACTTCTTTTCCCTACCAGGCTTGACTGTGTCTTTCAGAGCCAGACCAAGAGCCAGAATGTAGTTAAACATTGCACTCACAGAGAAGTCAGTTTTCCTTCGGGGTAAACCTTTGCTAATTCAGGATTAAAGCCAGGTTTGTAAGTTCTTCTTGATGAACAACTTTCCTAAAGTTACTAATAGGGTTTTCAGCCCTCTCTTTTGTCTTTCTCTATACTATCATCATCCAAAAATCTGCCTTTCTCTCTTCAGAGCTGGGAACAGCAGCTGTGACTTCCCCAACAGCTGCTCCGGAGTGGCAGCAGTTTGAGGAGGCTGAGCCAAATATCCCATCGGAGCTCACTTGTTTATCCTGAGATCCCCACAAAATGCCATCGCCTTCAGCTCACTGCAGCACAAAAATGCTTTTATGGCTTGGGGCTTCATGGGGAGGATGCAGTGGCAGGATTCTGATAACTACAGTAGAGCTAGAGGCAGAAAAACTGCTGCAGAGTTGCTTGTTTTGGGGGAAACACATCATCTTAAGAGGTTTTCCCTTCTACCTCTGGTTTAACAATACACAGGGTCTTTACACATGTTCATCTTTTCAGATGAAGAACCTTTTCTCTCTCATTGAAGTCAGTGAGAAAGTCACTGCTGACTTCAAAGAAGCATCCCCTGTCCCATGGTTTAAAGACAGGTTTACTCTATGTAGCAGAAATTTGTTCCTACACCAGCTTCTGGGTCACATCCATTTTCAGGGAAGGTCCAGAGTCCCAAGTGGTGTAAAAGGAACATCTGCACTTGAAAACATCAGCCCTTCACATCTGGGTCCCAGATGATTCAGGGCAAGTACAAGCACATCTGGACCTTCGAGTCCCATGCTGTGCAAAAGCACATCTGGAAAACTATAGCATACAGTAAATTTCTTTAAGTTAATCACTTCAGTCACTATTAGCGGTTTAATTACTATTTTGTCTGGAAATATTTGATATGAAAAGAAGTAAGGAGAGCAGTGGGTTCAGGTCACGATGGGAAAAGGCTGGTATGAGGAAGGGGAAGGAAAATGCACTAAGTTAAATGTAATTTAACTATAGCTGAGCATGTTTCTTTACGGATAACACACATTTCATGTAGTTAGTATGCATGCTTAGCAGCAACTTTCAGCCTGTGAGCTCCTCAGCACAGGAACTGTCCTTTATGGCATTTTCACACCTCATGCAACAAAGCCCCAAACTGCTTGGCAAGTCCCATTGTGACAGCGATGTCAAAATGACCAAGATCTCACCCCTTCTGGCCACCTGATAGCAATGATGTACCATCTACCTGCAGCTCATCTGCTCCTTTGGTCCAACTGCTCACACAGCAAGCCTGGGATCCACCACCTCCCCAAGTGAAGAAAAGTCTAGATAAGGATCTATAATATGTTTTATCTCCCCCACTTCACTTCTTTGCTGCAAAGGTCTGGAAGGGAAAACAGCCAAACTTTCTTCAGTAGCTTTATGCTCCTAAGTAAAGATCCCTGATTTGGCCACAAAGTTCTGGGAGAGGACAACTGATCGTCATAAGCAATAACCCATCCTACTCACAGCAGCACTGGTAACTGTGCTGGCTACAGGGTTAAAAGGGTAGAGAGCCAAAGCTTGCAATGAAAACTTCTCTATCCAGACAGCTCCCAACTGGCATTATCTCCATTTCACAACCGTGGCAGGGATGGAGGAAGTCACCCACCTACGGTCACCCTGTGAGTCAGGAGCAAAGCTGGGAAAAGCAGCCACAGCTCCTCGTGCCAAGTCCAAGGCTCCAAGAACCCGACTACAAAGGTGAAACCAAGAGAGCAAGCAAAATCCCAGGGTATGTGTGGACCCAGCTGGTCTCAGTACAGTGCAGCTGCTGCTGTCAGACACAGATTCATTAAATAGAGAAAGTCTTTCAGCTGAGACACGCTGAAGTATGAGCCTATTATCTAACACATCCCCTACTATCAGGGGACAGTCTCTCTTACCTACCTATGATGCAACTCGAGGATCTAACAGGTCTTTTCCATTCCTAAACAGCTGAAATCTGCTGGACAAACCATTGCCATCATCGCCACGGAGTTTCTGTGCAACTGGAAGGTTCACAAAGCTGCAGCAGTAACTCAAGGAGACTCCTGCAGTAGGCAAATCCAAGGGGATTCATCCACCAGTTTTTGCCACACATCCCTCTGTGAAAAACTGCCCTCAGCATGAGCAGGGGGTGAATCCCAGTTTGGAGCCTCCAACACAACAGGGCTATTTGCCATAGAAATAACCATTAGCATGAGCTGGTAGTGTTTTACACTGACTCAGCACGGACAGCAATGAACACCCTGTAAATAGGAAGGTGAAGAAATAGCTAGCAGCAGCTTCTTGTGTGGCTTACCAACCCCTCATTGTGATGAAGGATGGGAAACAGCTCCCCTAGGATATGATACTGGCTAAAGACTGACAGAAAAGAACAGAATGGAGAGCTGAATGAAAGGGAAAATCTCACGGCAGGGCAAGAAGAGGGAAAGGAAAAACTAAGCGCAAAGTGTGTGCATTAGAGGCCATGTGCACTGATCTCACTACATTTTGTTTCTTTTAGAGCAATTCCATCTTTATTATTCAGTGTTAACTGCTCTGTAGCTCAGAAAGCAGCCCCCAAAGTGCTCAGATCTCTTTGCAATACTCTTAAAAACAGAGATGAAAGCTTCATTATGGGAATGAAAGCAAAGCTGCCAGTGTGAAAATCCATAAGCTCTTCCCTCTGTTCGGGGGGGGGGGGGGCTATTCAAATGTACAGACACCTTCCTGGAGCAGAGATACAGCGCAGCTTGTGCAAGGGGTAAGAGACAACGGTGTGAAGAGACTTGCTGAAGGTTTGCATGGATCAGTGTCAAGTCTCACATCTTCAGTGAGGATGAGCCGGGGAAAACTGAATAAAGCAAAATGTTTCTTTTCTCCGCCTGGAAACGAGCGCAGGCAGAGCACATGTGCAGGATGGCACAGGAGAGGTGACAACTATGAGCCCAGGCTTGTCCTGGGACCCATTCTAGCATGAGGAAATGTGTAAATTATGGCCCACAAACTCACATTCCTGGATAATGCTCCCCGTTCAGATGGGGGTACAATTAGTAAGAGCTGGGCAGCGCTCTCTGGAGGGGTTTGAAAGAAATATAAGTAGACTGGAGCTTGAGGAAAGGACAAGAAAAACTCTCCCTAATTATGGCCTGGACGTGTTGTGCCTCTCCTCATTCCCTTCCCTCCTCTATCTCCCTTCCTCCCCCTCTGCCTTTCTCCTCTCCACCTCCATTCAGTGCTTCTGGGCGCCTCTTAGCCCTGGAGTTAAATTAATCAACAGGATTAGGTGGAATCGGCCACAAGACGACCCTCCAGGCTCAGACTGAGCCCTTGATGCTCTACAAGGACCTGCTGCCTTGTCTTGAAGCACCTTGGTGCCGTCTGGAAGGATTGGCAGACAGGACCAGACATGAAAACGCATTCATTAAAGTGGGGCTCGGATTTTGTCAGAGGCTAAAGGGGAGCTGCACGTTCTCTCCTTCAGTATTTCTCATCTCATTTCCTCTCTCTCTCTCTCTTGCTTCCAGCTGCACCATCCTAAAAATTAAATGTGTGTTGGAGGGGAGAGATGAAGAGGGGGAAGGGAACAGTTTTGAGAATGGCTTCAACAGAAGTGTACCTTTTGTACTGCAACTGGCTCTAGCAAACTTACCCATATACTGCTGGAGCAACAGAAACCAGATCTGGAGGTGACTGGTTGGGGAGTTAATACAGCCCCAGGGGAACTTGGATTTAATGGCATGAGAGAAGTTAGACTCACTCTGAAGGTACCAGCAAGATCTGAGCCACAGCACAGCCCCACACCAGGTCCTTCCGGCTTCACAACACTCTCCCTCCACCAAAGCTGTCCTGCTTGGTGGCCCCAACATGCACATGTGTGCATGTTTTGCCAGTCCCATGTGTACATGAACTTCAAGTAGACAAAATAACTTCAGGTTACTTTATGCTGAAGGATAATTAAAGACCCCGAAAAGGGCAGGATTCACCTGCCATGGGACTCTTCTGCTGCCTGACACTGCCTTAATAAATGGAGCCACATAGCAGGAGGCAGGGGAAAGTATCTCCTGATTGTGGGTGCCTTATAAGATAATAAGATCTATTAGAGGTGAGATCCTTGCCACTGGCCTCAGCTATAGCACATGTGTGGAGCAGGAAGGGTGGGACTGCACACCTCACACTTCCTACTCCCCTTGGAAGCATGTGAGATGAACGAGGATCACTAAGACACAGCCATTTACGCACAGCTCATGCCTCCTGTGCTGGACCTGCCAGTCAGCAGCTTCAGAAGCA